GGTGGATTCCGGCGATCCTTCCGCCTCAGCCTTCCGAGTAGCCAGAATTACAGGCATGTGCTACCACGCCTGGCTGATTTTTTGATTTATTGTAGAGATGAGGTCTCGCTGCCCAGGCAGGTCTCGAACCCGCGGGCTCAGGCAATCCACTCACCTCAGCCTCCCAAAGGTGCGGGATTACCAATTATGTTTTATAGTCCTTGAAGAGAGTATCTAATTGCTCTTGGGCCAGGTTTTCCCTATTGGTTAAACTTCTAGTGGACAGAAGGTGGGATCACCCGGGAGCTGAGGCTGTACCTTTCAGGGATATGGGCGGAGCAGACTCCATGAAAAAGGCATGGACAAGGAAGAATCTCAGTGTAATGTACTTGGCTGGGATATTGTAAAGAAGAGTCAGGCTTCAGCTGGTTGCACTGCTTCTAATCTTGGAGAAACGCCTTCATTTCCATGGGCCTTAGTTTTCTTATCTGCAAAGATAACAAGAATTCAAAATAATAATAATTATTATAACAACTAGCATTTATTGAGCTTCTATCATGTGTCAGATGCCCTTCTAAGCACTTCACATTCACTAATTTAACTTATTCAATAACTGTAAAGCACTTAAGATGGTTACTAGGTAGGAGAGGAGAGAGAGAAAAAAAGATACTAGGGTGTTACCATGGACTGAATGTTTGTAACTCCTCAAAATGAGTATGTTGAAACCTAACCCCAATGAGATAATATTTGAAAGTGGAGACTTTGGGATATGATTAGGTCATGAGGGCAGCGCTCTCATGAATGGGATTAGTGCCTGTATAAAAGAGCCCTAGAGAGCTCCCTCACTCCTTCCGCCATGTAAGAAGACTGCCACCTATGAACAAGAAAGTGGGCCTTCACCAGACACTGAATCCGCCAGCATCTTGATCTTAAACTTTCCAGGCTCCAGACTGTGGGAAATAAATTTCAGTTTTTTATAAGTCACTCAGCCTATGCTACTTTGTTACTGCAGCCCAAACAAAGACAGCTGTCATCTCATTCCAACATTCAACAAAGTGACCTACAAAATGCAAAATTCAATTTGATTGACCCTCACCCTTAATGATATTATAAAACAGAAACATATCTTCATCTTTGCAGATCACATCCTAATATTTTCATCCTTGCATAAAAATTCTTCTATCCATTGATATGGTTTTGATACTTATTTAGAATTTCAAAACTAAGATATTTTATTTCTGAAACAACTAAAAGAATTAGAACTTGAAGGCAACTCTTCCTCATAATATATGATGTAATGAAGCTTGGATTTTTTTATAGCTTTATTAACATATACATACCTAGCCGGGCTCGGTGGCTCAGCCTGTAATCCCGCGCCTTTGGGAGGCTGAGGTGAGTGGATTGCCTGAGCCCGGGGATTCGAGACCCGCCTGGGCAGCGAGACCTCATCTCTACAATAAATCAAAAAATCAGCCGGGCGTGGTAGCGCGCACCTGTAATTCCGGCTACTCGGAAAGCTGAGGCGGAAGGATCGCCAGGGCCCAGCAGGTCGAGGCCGCAGTGGCCGGGAGTGGCCACTGCACTCCAGTCTAGGTGACCGAGTGAGACTCCAACTCAACAAAAAAAAAAACATATACATACTTAAAGTGTACAATTTGATGAGCTTTGACATATGTATTTACCAGTGAAGTCATCACTATAATCAAGGTAATGAACAGGCCAGGTTTAGTGGTTCACACCTGTATCCCAGAGCTTTGGGAGGCCGACACAAGAGTATCTCTTGAGGCCAGGATTTCAAGATCAGCCTGAGCAACAGACCCTATCTCTACAAAAAATTAAAATAAAAAATTAGCTGGGCATGGTGGTGCATGACTGTAGTCAAGCTGAGGATCATTTGAGCCCAGAAGTTCAAGGTTGCCATAAGCTTTGATGGCACCATTTACTACATCCTGGGAGACAGATAGAGACCCCATCTTAAAAAAAAAAAAAAGATATGCGCACCCACAGAAGTTTCCTTGTCTGTCTTTCGTAATTCTTCTCTCCCTACTCAACCCAATGTCCCTTGTATCACAAAGTTTCTTCTTTCTGGCTGTCAGAAACATGAATTATTCCCAGGCCTGGACAAGCTCTGAAACTGTTCTGCCTGCTTTTTTCTAGTGGTTCTTTCTCTGGCCATGGGTGGTTTCCTCATGCGCATGTATTTGATCAGTTCTCAGAAAAAAAGTTGGGAAAACCCTCTGCAGACTCTTTGTTTAGCTCTCCCCTCTTTGGCTCTCTGTGAATTCTAGCCACCTTGGCCTCCCTGAATTCTCAGATCTGATTTCTCAATTCAGAGAGACTGCCAGGCTCTCTTTGGGTTGCCATATCTGCGTTGTAGCTTGGAAATCCTCTCCAGACAGTAAACTGGGCCAGGCAGCACAGTCATCTCTTTTGTCTCTCTTCTCTCAGGTCCGGCATCACCTGTTGCCAGATGTCTGAAACCATTGTTTCATACATTTTTTCCCCATATTTTTCATTTCAGGTTGCAGAGGAAGTCCAGTCCCTGTTACCTCATCATTGCTGAAGCAAAAGACAGAGCTTTTTATTTTTTTTAATAAAAAATGGTTTACAACCAAGCTCATTGTAAAAAAATTCAACGGATATAAACTCTCATAAGGTACAAAAGTGAACATTCTCTTTAGTACCACTATCTTATCCCTCAGAGATAACCCCCATTAATGGCAAACACAACATTAAGTCATTTCCACCTCTCTCAATGAGATCCTATCTTGGCGTGAGAGAGGCAGGAGAATCTTTGGTGGGGCTAGAGCGATTTAGAAAGTAATGTGCCTGCCTGAGAAATGCTGCCCCCCTTCCTCTCCCCCACGAAGCGTGTGAGCTAGGGCTCATTCTGTACTGACTTCTCTTTCACTATCCCAAAGGCAGAGGTGAGGGTCATGCGTCCATCTTAAAACCTTGATGAAGGCAACATGAAATAATATATGTGAAAGTGTTTGGCAAACTTCGAAATCACATACAGTTGTTAGTTAATATTGTATTATCATACATGTTTATTTTTACTACTAACTACTGTAATAATTAGTCTTTAGAAGGTTTAATGATACCCCCAGAGGCCATTTTTATCACTAGTGAAAGTTTCTTTTCATAACAAGCCTGCTCAAACTCTTCAGGGCCTACCGCAAAAAAAGAATCCTTGTATTAGTTCAAGGTCACCTTAAAGAGGCTAAACATCCCCCAGGTGGAAGGATCTCCAGCCCGGACATAGCCTCCAGGGTTAGGTAAGACGCCATTTCTTTTCCTCTCAAAGTCACTCAAATACACTCCTCAGAAACTTTATAATCTCTCCCTTTTATAGAATGGCAAGTAACATTGAGCTTTTTCTTTTCTTTTTTTCTACTTTTACCCTCCAATTTTACCCCCCACTCTGTTCTGGGCCTGCCACGAATGGGTGCCCAAATGTCAACTCCAGAAATAAAAAAACAATGCATAGACGGCTATTTTCCTATCCATTTGTTCTTCCCCTCCTAAAAAATACAGACATTTAACAAGATTCAATTGACCAACGTGCAGCATCCAGGCAAAAATTTCTGGATGTGTTAAAAAGCAAAAAATATATAATCTGTAGTCAGAAGAAAAATAAATCAATAGAAACTGACCCAGAAATAAACAAGATACAGAAGTTGCTCACTGACAGCTAACACTGTAAGGTGTAGCACCCACTGGGTTGGGCATTTTCTTAAACCTTATGTAATTTAAAACATAACCCCCCACATTTTACAGGATCTAACAGCTGAAGGCTTCTTCATAGGCTGTAGAGATTACTTACCAGGTCCCCATGGCTGGCCGTGTTCACATCTGAATGAATGTGACTACTGATTTTTACGTTTTTAAACAGTCAAAACAACCAGCAGTACAGTGATGTCCTCTCTCCCCCTCCCTTGTGCGACCCCAGTACATCCTGGGGACCTAAGTGGAAACAATCAGAGGCGCCGAAGGTGAAGAACCGATGGCGCCATGTGGTGGTTCCTTTGTTGAGCAAGTCCCTTCTCTGGAGCAGTCCCTGAGGTCACAGGATTTGCGGATAGGCCCTTGCCCTTCCACTCCCACTCCCACCCCCAAGTTCGCAAGCCCCTATAAGTTACCGCCCTAAGCAAGTCCGGTTCTTTAATAAAGCCCGCAGGGTCCAGACATAGCTCTCGTCCGGCTGGGCGGAGCCGCGAGCGGAGCGGGCCGGAGCTGATCCGGGCGGGGCTATCGGAGGCTCCGCCCCCACCGCGGCCACTGTTCACACGCCCCGGTGCTGATCCACGCCGACTCTGATTCGCCGCCATCCAGTGCGCCCGGAGTCCCGGCGGAGAGCGCCGGGCGCCCAGCAGCCTCCGGCAAAGGCGAGCAGCGGTGCCCGGCCGGGTCGGCTATGCCTCCTGCTGCTGCGGCTCCCTCCGGCGCCCTCGCGCCCGCG